CACGCCCAGGCCACGCTCAGGCCTTCGTTATGGATGGTTAAGGAGTAGGTATGGAACGTGAACCTTTACCCTGGCCGAATGCAGATATTAACGACTGCAAACGCACCCGAGACCAACGGCTTAACGTGCCTTCCGAAGGATGGATTTCGAGATAGTAAATTTTTGGTCACCCATCCTATGTCTGACCATCGCCAAAGTTGCTTAACAATCGTAACGCAGACCGAGCGCGCTAACCATTGTGCCATTAAGCTCGTCCAAAGAAAAATATACCCTTTTGAAATAACATATTGAAGGAGTAGAACTTTTTAAATGTTGTACTTTTTTCTCACAAATGAATTAATCGTCATCAGCAATGAATATATTCACTAACACCACCAGCCGATTAATTACCACTGCTGGGCTTAAGCCTTACCTATAGGTGAAATCGAATCATAACGCGGGCCCAATATGGATTAGTGAATGTTAACGATTACAGATGCCTACAGCCGGGACCAACGGCTTAGCAGGACGAAAGAAAACGAGATGATAAATTTTGGTCACAAGACCGGTCTTACCACAGTACATTTAAGTTCAAATTGACAAACGAAGGTATTATTATTTGGGCCAAGTGCAGATTAATGGGAATCACCCATCGAAGACACCTTCTGAAATACGGAGGGGCTTGAGATAATAATTTTTGGGTACACTTCCTATGACCGGTCTTTATAAAAAATTCCATTGAGTTCATCAATTTATGCGTGGAGAAAACCTTAACTACTGCACTTATAGATTTGAAAAAGTCATTATATACTTAGGTTTAGTTAGCTATGTGTACACTTGGTTAGTGACGTAATTATGCAGATGTCATTGCACCCGAAACTGGTACCACTACGCTTACATTTAAGTAAACTGAAAAGGTTCATCGAACCCATGTGCGATCTGGGTAAACGTCAATTGTTTTGTTTAATGCCCAGTTCCTATCGATTACTGGTGAATCTATTTCGAGTACAGCTGTTTTGTTTTACTGTGGATAAACACCTTATAATCACACCTACCGGTTGTAAATTAAAAAGTAAAGAATCACCATAAACTAGATTTAACCGTGACAAATATAATTTCTCGCTTCCCGATCGAACGACAATTAACAAAATCACAAACAAAAAGTGACCCTAGTGTTAGTAATAGGGTTGGCAATATGAATTATCACTAAATTATTGGTAATAATTTTTATAATATTTGATATTTTTTTACTCTATTTATTTCAAATTAATTATACTTAGTTAAGTATACACATGGTCAAATAATATATTTTTATGATCAAAATACAAAGTATATTTACTGGTTTCTACATAACTAATAAGTCTAGTTTTTTCTATGTTACAATTATATATTTTTTATTAAATGTGTTAACTCAGTTTCTTTTAGTTCCCGCTTAATATAAAAACTTTCATCAATTCTTTGACGTTTGGGAAATATCACATGAAACTAGTTGAGGACTGCCTTCGTCTAGTTGACAAGTTTTACATTTTCATAAGCTAAAAGCTATTTTATCTTTGTTATAGTATGATCTGAAGCCAATGCTTAAAGACAAATAATTCAAGAGGTTGCAATATATTGGTCATTTCTTTAGATAAAAAAGAGCAAACAAATGGTGCAGATCATGCTGACAGAGTCCTCTGTAAAAATATGTTAACTTTTGTACCTACGTTACTCGCTACATCATTTTACAAAATATAAAAAATAGGCATACTATGATTTTGATAAATTCATATTTTTTTACATTAGCTTCACTAACCTCGTTGATGTTTATTTAATTTGATATTTAATATTTCTGTCAACCCTAACTTTGACTTACTTGAAAAAAGGACATTACAGTATATCTATCGGGTCGTTGTTCTCTGGCTGGTAGTAATTCTACTTAATTATTTAGTTAATAAAATATTTATTGTTTTTTTTGTCTGTGGACGGATTAATTAGTAGGTACTACACAAAATTGCTGTTACGTAATAAATCGAGTGCTCAATACCTAATCATAATTTGTAAAATAAACGTTCACGATATTTCTACTGATACCTTGATAAGTTTCTATTGAAACCCAATCACCTTAATTCATAAACTAATTGAAAAACCTTCTCCACGAATTACGCCGTCAGTTGATGAAAGAAAGCTATATGAAATCTATTTTATTGTACTTACGTAAAAGTAGTAAAAGCATTGTAATAACTAAGGATATCTAATTATTTCTTACAGGAAGTATCAGACAGTGCGCTTGCGCAAAGCCTGAGTCACAGCCGAGGACTGCTGCATCACGGTAACCATGGTGAAAATGATTAGTTACTGCATGCATAGAATGTCAATTTACATATATTTGTCGTTTATATCCTATAAAAGCACAATCTAGATGTACACGCATTTAGCTCGAAGTGAAACTGCTAGCATTTAGTAGCAGTGTAATGATAAAAATTAGCCTTAAACACAAAGTCCAGCATAGCGCTGTCATAGCATAGAAGTTCAATCAAATATTTACTGTTTCAAAAGTATTTGAGACATTGAGTGCAATAAAGTATATTATTATTATTATTTAAATATATTTATAATTTACTCTTCCCGACCCCTCATTATTATTATTATTCCTATATTTATAATTTACTCTTCCCGACCCCTCGACGATTCGAGGGGTGGGAGGATTCCCCCTGGCAGAGGAGGCCAGACGGCCGGGGGTCAGGGCGACAAAGAGAGAAAACGGCGGACGATCCTTGCGTTATCGAGCAAGATCGCCCGCTGGAGCCTCGCAATCATTGGTCCGTCACGGAGTCCCAACCTCTTCAGATGGTCGTGAAGAGAAGTTGGGACTAGGCCATTCGTTGACACTACGACTGGGATGATCTCAGTGGATGACACTCGCCACATATCGGTAACCTCGTGCGCCAGGTTCAGATATTTAAGTTTTTTATCTGATTCGGCTTTCACGAGGTTTTCATCGAATGGGACGGTGACATCCACTACGAACACCCGAGATTCCGCCCGGTCCATCAGTACGATATCAGGCTTGTTCGCAGGAACAGTCCTGTCCGTAATGATGGACCGGTCCCAGTACAATCGAGCGCGGTCGTTTTCAAGAACTGGCTCCGGCACATACTTATAGTACGGCACCTTTTCGCCTATGAGGCCGTATTTGAAGGCTAGCTCGAGATGGAGTATTTTGGCTGCTTGGTCATGCCTGTGCAAATACTCGGTATTAGCCAGTACAGGACAACCGGAAGTAATATGCCTGAGTGACTCACCGGGCTGGTGACAGGCTCTACAAACGTCCTCTGTCCCATCCTTCAGGATATACTTCCGGTAGTTTCGGGTCATAATGACCTGGTCCTGTATTGCACAAACAAAACCTTCGGTTTCCCCAAAGAGGTCCCCGAAGCGCAGCCAATGCACGGAGGCTCTCGGATCCACGTGACGCTCGTGTAGCGCCTTATAGAATCTACCGTGCAACTCCTTCTCCCTCCAAACAGCCTCTCGGTCAGTGGTGCTAAGTACTGCCGGTTCTCGCCATTCCTCGGTGGCCAAAGAGAGAGGGGTTAGTCCTACATCACATGCTTTGACATCTCTATGCAACTCACTTGATTCCGCTTTCGCCAGGAAGTAATTACGGAGACTATGTATCTCGTGGTTGTGCAGGGTTTTCGCACTGAGCAGCCCACGACCGCCACTCTTCCTCGGGCTATACAGCCTCATCACTGACGATCTCGGGTGGTGCATCCTATGGAGTGTCAAAGTTGTGCGGACTTTCCGATCCAGGGCGTCCAATTCGGTCTGAGTCCATCTGAGTATGCCAAAGGTGTACATTAGGACTGGCATGACCCAACCATTAATGGCCCTGACTTTGTTGACGCTTGACAGGTAGCTTTCAAGTACCTTAGTTAGGCGTCCCAAAAAGGCCTCCTTAACGGATTGTTTCACGTCCGCCATATGCACACCTAGATTGGTCGTGCCGGCCCTCGGGGTTGGCTGGCTCGCATTCTGCTCGACCCGGCGCCAGCTCCGGACGAGCCCTGGCGACCCCCAGGCAGCGGCCCTATACGCGCTCTGTTTACTCCACTCATCATAGTACATAAATAGGCTTGATACATCAGGGGTCGCCCAATTCCCTAATGGGTCCGTTAAGATAGATTGCACCCACAATGACGGCAGATGGAAAAGAAGCACGGACCAACACTTCTCGCCTATGAGTAACATTTTGGGTGCGAACTAATTGCACTGATACGGCAAATCCTCTCACTAAACTCGCCGCATCAGTGGGCGATGGGGTCGTCACATCCCTACGCCTATTATTATTATTATTATTATTATTATTATTATTATTATTATAAATTTCATTGAACCACTATGCTCTGAGAAAGCTATGCACGCTCCACTGTCATTTTGAGGCTAATTTTATTACAAAATAATTATCGTCCTCATGAAATCTTCACTCATTTTAACTCTTGATAGTGATACATTCTCAAATTATCTGCTTTGCTTTAAGTCAATGTAAAAATACAAGTTTTATAAATTATGTTAAAATTTATAAATTAAAACGTTATTACATTATGTTATAACCAAAAAATATTAAATTAGATTATGGTGACTCAGACCTGCAACTTATAGGTTTACACATAAAATGAGAAAGTCTAAACGGTTGACTCATGGAGTTGTAGGAAGCAGGTACCGATAAATCGGAACAGAAAATTACTCCACTGACATTTATCGTATTAAGTCATAAAAATTCTGTCAATATACATTTTGTTAAAATACACTATGTTTATGGTTTCTTCAAAAACATGATCGCCAAGAAACATTAAATCAATTTTAAAAAGTTGCCAGTTTATACGAACCTGATGTCTTTGATTAACAAACAAACATCCAAACAAAGAAACTTTCACATTTATAGAATTTTTCTACAATATACTTATATATTTACTAACGTGTCCTTTTCTAAGAATTTAATCGCGGTTCTATGCTCTAATTATCATCTAATAAATTTTATGTTTTTAACATTAACATTTCCTTGTTCCGTTCCAGGCTATGGTTTAGCAAACTATGACGACGCTCCCCACAGTGGCTATGGCTACGAATATATCACAGATGAACACGATGGTCACTACGACGGACATCATCATTCAGACCATCATCATGCAGATCACCATCATCATCTGGACCACCATCACCATCCAGACCACCATCACCATCCAGACCACCATCACCATGTAGACCACCATTATGATCATCATTCACATCACGACGACCACAAACACGGTTACGAACATCACCATAAGCATTTGGATCATGTGAGAATAACATTCACACTCTCTTCAATATTTATTTAAGTGACTACTACTTGTTTTGTTACAGGAATTATTACATCTCGGTTTCCTCAACTAATAAGCATCGTTTAATATTTTTATTTGCGTTATTATAAACCAATATTATCAATATTAATTTCCAAAAAAACGCCTTGTCTATCTATTCAGTAGATATAATTTCAACTATCCAATTGACAACAACTTGTATTGCGAACAAAGTATTATTTTTAAAAAATAATTGCCTATCCATTGATTTGGCATTAAATTATCAGTTAAACATTCAAGTCTTAGGTAAAACATCAAGTTTACTGAGACGTAATAATATCTGAACAGGATATTATGAATTATACTTGTTACACCTACTCATGACGGAAAGATATGAGATATTTCTTTACATTATCTCACGCCATATGAAATACAACGTTTCATAATGAAACTGACAAGGATTCAGATGTGATTTAACCGAAAAGGAATTATCTACAATAAAAGCTTTGCTTGCTAGAAGAAAGGGTAAAACAAATTAGAATCAAAGATTCATTGTCAGATTAGCAATTTTAAGTTCATATCAATACAAACCTATGATCTTGTACATTTCAATTTTTCTAAAGCTCTCATTATTTTACAATACATAATCAATAATGCATATAAATATTTGAATAGTGAAAATCACAAAATCGATACCCTTAAGACGACTACAAATATTGATAATTGCTTAGATAGACAACGTCTGTCTGTGATTTTACATGCTACAGTTGCTTTTCTTTTTTTCAATGTATGGCATATTTGCGTTTACACAATTTCAATGTCAAGTTAGTGGTCTTTATACGTAAAGAAATAAACGTGATCTTCTATTTACACGAGAACGGATTCGTCATTGTCAATTTATAAAAAATCCGATAATTTAAAAAATCTCACTGTTTATATTTTAATTCTATTATATAAACTCCTTGATCCCAATTTACTAAACTGATTTTATCCCTTGACACATCTGTTCAAATTACGCAAATGCCCAAAGCTAGGCGCCGCACATTGCATGTCCTAACTTTAAGCGTTGCTTAAACTCGTTAGATGACTCCTTTTCATTGGTGAAACGCATTTTTGGCAAACGTAAAAAAGAGGGGTTAGATTTGGGTGACTGCTAAGTTTAGTGAAAACGGGCATAAGTTTATTTAGCTTTACTTCTTGTCAGTCGAAAGAGATCATGAACGAACTTTTGGAATATTCAAAAGTGCTTGTTGAATAAAGAATTTTTCATTCTCATTCATAGTTGACGCCATAGTGGCATCCAACATAACGCGTAATTAATATGTAATTAATATGTGAAATCAGTCAACATACATATATCTTACAAGTATATAGAATGCTATAGTCACATTTACGGATATGTTGATACAGCTGCATTTAAGGAACATAATCAGTGTTGCATCCGTTTGATATATCGCAAATAATGTGGTATCGAATTCAAAACAAATAGAATTACTTTGTAAACGCTAGTTTGAATTTCAGTAGCATAAATTTTAATATTAATCTATGATAAAAAAATAACAAATCTATTTTTTGGCTTACGTACGAAAAAAAGGGAAATCGGGACCGTTATTGGATCACTCGTTTGTCTATCTGTCTCTGCGTCATAGCTATTGCCATAGCAGATTGATTGAAAATTGGTACACATATATAAATTGATGACCCAAAAGCGATCGTGCAACGTCAACAAATTAATGGTAAACATAGATGCGCCTCTTTTGTAGTTCTTTAATAAAATAGAAAAAAATCTTTACCCAGAATCTTCGAAACTAAGAGTCCTAACGTTTTGAAAAAAATAATGAAACTATTTCTTTCAGGAAAACCTACCTACAATAAGTCTTTCGAACACGCTTTTCTAACTCGCTCTTGGTCGGTTTTTATTTCCGATGCATAGTCCCGTGTTTATACAATACATGGACTTAATAATAACATTCAACATTTTAAGCTTTTTATGTCAATAATATTCAGTAAATTCCAGGTTACTATAGCATATTATAATATAGGATTTATTTGCAGGCCCTCGCTGCTAAGAGTGTTCTTTGGCCAATTGCTGGCATCGCTTTATTGGGTGCTGCAGCCGCTTTAGTCAGCAATCCAGTCCTTCTACAACTTGGAGTAGTATCAGGAAAACGAAAAAGGCGTAATACAGAAGATTACTTACCAAAGGATATCATGGGATTTCATGAAAAGTATAATTTAAGCAAACAGAAGGATTCCAAACATTACAATAAAGAAACTTCATCGATAACATCTAATTATAAAGCTGATGATATGGAAAATACTACCCTTTACAGCAGAGCAATCAAGAATCACAGATTGATAAGAAAAGTATCCCCGAAAGTTAATAAAGACATCGAAAAATTATCATTTGATATTTCTAATGTATACAAAGAACCGAAAGATAAACATTACATTCCAATACCACTTAAATATAAGAACTAAGATATTATTTCCTTTTTGTAACAATTTTAAATCTTTGGTGTTTCATAATAAAAATTAAAATTTGATTTCTTTGTGGTAACAATTTATTTCAAGTAAACAACTGACAACTTACCAGTAAACGAAAAATTGGTGCAAACGTCAAAAAATTGCCACACACAAAAACATTTTTGATCACAAAACCAACACAGATATCACTATTAACACATAAGCAACACGTCTCACAACAAATGACACAGTTAAGAGCCTAACAATCAATATTGAACAGTTAAATATTGACAAAACAAACTTAGAACGACGATTGTTTAAGTAAAACGTCACACCGTGATCGAGACCGAACGATCGCAGTGAAGTGAGTCGAACACAAAACTATTCAAGATACTAAAGACGCGTTTTTGAATGAAGTTGCAGTCAGATGTATGTGTGCGTGGGCTTGCGCGGACGCAAAGGGTGTAGAAAAACTCGCTCTCTACTCAGCTGTGTGTGTATCAACACTTGAAATGCATTCTTTGAAATCTTATTGCACTGCAATAGATAACTTTTTTGAGTAAACCCCAACTATTTCATAGTGGTTATTGATAATAATTGGGAGGTATATATAATTTGTAGACAGCTTGTGTTTACAGTAAGAAAGCAGTTTTTAGATGAGGGTGGTATAGTTAAATACGTTTATAAATTATTGATTTATAATAATAAGTATAAAAACAAATGCTATTTGGAAATATGAGACGATAATGTTATTCCGAAAACTTAATTAACATGAACCTGTCTATACACATAGGTTACACCTTTAAGATAATTATTGGATAGGCCTATAGTTCACCTGTAGGTAATAATAGTGCTGGTTTTTGTAACAACAGATGTTTTACTAAACAGGTGCTTTAAAAAAGTGACTAAAGACGTTTCAGCCTAATAAATATTTCGAAATGTACCAATTTATAATTTGTACCTATTTTGTATCCTTTCACTTACAGAAAGCTAAATCATGTGCGAGTGACGTAGGTTATTATTTATACGGGAAAACGGTTTATAATATATAGATCGATCTTCTTAATGATTTGGCATATTTTCTACTTAATAACACTTTTTAATTAATTTGATCAAATTTGCTTTCACAGTGCTATGTTGCCATTTACCTTAAATAAAAATGGAAAAGAAATTCACAAAATTTTTCTTCAAGATTAAACAATTTTCATTCCAAATTATCACAGAATTCATAATTCTGATAATATTTATTTGTTATTTATCTGATTATCTTCTCAATAAAATCTCCTATAACTTTAATAGATCCAACATAGTTTGAAACTAATATGTAGTTATTATTTTTTAAATGCGCATAAATAAACGTGATATTATTGCACGATATAAAACCTGTTTCGCCATCTCCATATATAGTGCCAAACTGCGTGACGGATGATTCTGTGTTTAAAACAAGCAAGCACACCAGTCGCACTGGTCCTGTCAGCGCTACTTACAACCTTATTTACAGCATCACCGCAAGATGTCGCTAGAGGTAGAGAAAAAAAGTCATGCCACAAGTTTGATAAAATATTTTTTAAGAATACATTACAATTATTTTATAACATTTTCAATGCAGATGTTTCAGGTGGACGCGCCTTATCTATACTCTCTTTATCTATATTTTCGCCCTTTAATGGATATGCCATTCAGACAGATCCCAGACGGGATAAAAAATAAACGTACGTGGCAAGATGGGGTACTTAAACTTAAACTAAACTAAACTTAAACTCGAAGGTCGATAAAATAAAAAAATACACAAAGAAATCATGATATTTATTTTTTAAATAACGAATTATTGTTACTATTCCAATATTTGGTGTCAGTAGCAACTTTTAGTTACATATTTTAGAGAAAAAAAATATGAATAAAAAAAAGGTGTTTTGCCCCGTCTTTCCCCATGGTGCTGGTAAGATATCCCAGAGAAAGTTGATTACTTAGGGCTGGCGGAATTCGCAGACGTGCATGGCTTCATCAACATCATTATCTATTCCTGCGCAGCTATTATGAGACCATCTTCCACATACTGAGCTTGATATCCACCCTTCAATGGAAACAAAATATACTTCCGAACAATACACGCATAGCCTGTCCCCCTCTTCTTCGCTTTCATCTTCTGATGATGAGACTCTTCGTTGTTTAGCGTTTAAATTTCGTTGTTCGGCTATTTTTACGGAAAACAAACAAGAACATCATTTTTCTCATTGGGGAGCAAGAGTTACTCCATCTTGCCTACAGAGCCATTTTCTAGCAATAAAAACAAAAAAAAACCAGTCAACAATCTTAAGGAAACACAATGCCTACTTTATTATAGAATAGTTTAAGCGTCAATCACAACAACACCTCACCAGCTAGCGTTATTGAACAATCCACAGTCACGTGTCAAACCCGAAGAAAATATGATAAGCAGTTTGCAGTAAAATACTTTTTTGACTGTTTTCGATATGTGTGCACTTACGAACCATCAAACGCTGGGTGACTGTTAAGTATCATGGTGGCGCATCGAACGATGAATAAACGAGTGTGATTGGTTACTTTGAACTGTGAATTTCGCTGGGTACCCCGTCTTACCCGCTACCCCGTCTTACTCATTCTCCCCTATACGAAATACTTACCTACCTACACTTAAGGCTCGAGATTTGCTTGCATGCAAGAAGTGTCAGTGCTGGGGTTCAGGCTATCCCTATAGATAGAACCTATTATAAACGAATAGAGAGAATGGGCCATAACCCACCCCGTAGTCCCAATTTTAATGCCTTTTATAACAAGAATAAGATGGAATATCAAGTAATTTAATATGGTATCATTATACTAATATTTTAGCTAAACTCAATTGTAATGACGTAGTTATTCTAGGCTGTTGTAGAAACGAGAGTGACATAAATAATTTTCATTCCAAATGTATGCATAGCTGTAAACATGTCAAGCTCCAAAGCTTAAGGACTCAAAGGAAAAGTTGTAGTAATTCAAGAAATTCAGGACTTGGCATGAACCTTATTGATCAACGTTATTTAAATGAAAATTTAAAACTTTCGACAAAACATTTTGTGAATTTTGTTTTTATTAACATTAAAGATGTTTTATATAATTATATGCAGAATGACACGGATTATATTAAATACTAATGTTCAAATTTCAGTTTATATATAAATTCTAAATGATATGAATTGCAATTTTTATCTGTTGACCGAATAAGGATTCGAAGGAAAAGTTGTAATTCAAGAAATTCAGAACTTGGCATTAACCAAACTTATCAACATACGAAAGCCACTAAACCATATTATTATGAAACCGTTAATGTCATAAAAATGAGAACACTATTTTTCGATCATAATGGACGTAGTAAATTCTTTATCTATACTATAATAAAAACGTAACTGATCGATGTCTGTACATTGAAGATATATGAAAAAAACTGTTATAGGTGACATTTATAAGCGTAATAGAATACAAAACAATGATTTTTAAAATTTTTGTCTGTTTGTCTGTTTGTCGGTTTGTCTGTTTGTCTGTGCGTTTGTGCACGATAATCTCAGAAACGGCTGAACCTATTTAAATGCAGTTTTTACTATTGTGTTGCGGCATTCTTCCGTTAACATTTAGGGTAAGATTTATTACAATCGGTTCACAAATAAAAAAGTTATATCAATTTGAAGTGACGTGGTCGCCAAAATTGCTATGAAATATTTACTGTTTTATAAAATTTTCATCTTTGATATGTTGATCATCATCATTAACTCTTTCACAGCCAAACTACAGGGCCTCAGGCCTTTGTTTAATAATTTTTGGTCACCCATCCCGTGAAAAACTCTTGCGATAATTGCTTAGCAATAGCGATCGTGCGCAGCGGCGCATATCCGTAGCGCCACCGAGCTGTGAATTAATATTGTCTATGAAATGATAATTTGTATGATGACAAATAAAAAAATAAGATTCCAAAATTTTGACAACTCCGAAGTAAGTTGACCTCAGTTATATATGGCCAATCATATTAAATAGGGTTCAGCTTATAATGGACATGTGGTATACGATCACGCGAGTAGGAGAACAAGCGGAAAGAGCCTTCCGATGATGCAATTAAGCCTCGAGTAGTTTACAGTGAATACATATTTTTATCAGATTAGGTTCACGTCGTCGTTGGGGCCAGCGGAGGTGGTTGGCAGCCGCTCCCGCATTGCACGATTTCGTCTGTCTGGGAGAGGCACTCGATTTAGCCGAGTCTCTCCAATTTTCCATCTGCAAGGGGAGCAATGATCCAAAACTTGAGTGTCCTGGTGACTCGGCCATAGCCTGCCGGTTTTCATTTCCCATGAGAAGGTGTAGAGTACGGTTTTTGGTGGGTAGGCCTCCGGGGACCCACCGGGCAGCTCACTGACGGGTTCACGGAGGAGAATCCTACTCATCCTTGTTGCTTGCCAGGTAACAGAGACAATGTCAGAAGTTTTTCCACGACGTTAAAAAACTTAGATTCACGTCAACTGAAGTTAAGAACGTAAAGACAACTCGAGTTATATATTTTTTTTCTCTTATTACTATTTTTTATGTTAATACTCTTTTTTTTACATACAAATTTCTGAAGATACGTACTTCAAAGTTAGTATTTTCAGTCTTCGCTGGAAACAATGGTTTATTCATTGGTCACAACACATATAATATTACGCGAGTCTGAGGATCGGTTCAGAGTAGCTTGGTGGCGTAGTGAATAAAAGCCAAGGCTCGCGATTGTAGTTGTTAAGCAACTTTCGCAAAGGTCGTTCACAGGATGGGTGTCCAAAAAATATTATCTTAATCAACTCCAAGCTTTGGAAGGCACGTAAAGTGATTGGTCCCGGTTGAATTTGCAGTCGTTAATATCCTCCAATTCGCATTGGGCCAACATGGAGGGTCGTGGCCCATCCTCCTTAATCCATAAGGCGCCTGCAGTTGCTGACGTAACAGAGCTTATGATGATGATGATGAGGGCCGTTTAAATCTGACGGAAGCTC